GAGACTCCTGCCAAATCTTGAGGACGACATCGTCCTCTTTTCGAGCAATATCACTGAAGCAGAGACGATGCTGAAGGAACTAAGCGAAGTAGGGAAGAAGATAGGACTGCGTATGCGAAAGGACAGAAGAAGACCAGTTCATGAAGAAAGCCCTTTGCGAAAATGCGTAAATGGATGGAAGGCACCCCTATTATGGAGACATCTTCTTACGTGTATCTCGGACGTTCGATGAACATGGAGAACGACGTGAGGGAGGAACTTAGCAGGAGAAGAAAAGCAGCCTGGGCCGCCTTCGGGCTTCTGAAGGAAGCCACCGATCAACTGACGGACCCGAAGCTTCGTGCCCACCTGTTCGATCCAACCGTTCACCCGGCGCTCTGTTACGCAGCTGAGATTGGGCGGACACTGTAGCCACGTCCAAAGCTTTACGGATCAACCACAGAGCGCCCGAGTTTGTCTTCTGAAAGTGGACCAATACAAACAACATCTTGTTAGACTTCGCTTTGCGGATTTGAGAAGGATGTCCTGTCTTTGTGACTCAGCGGAATACGTCGCGAAAGCGAAGTATCGACGGGCCGGTCACATCATGAGAAGAACAGATGACAGATGAACTAAGAACATCGGAGTGGACTCTTCGCGAAGCGACACAGCCCCAAAGAAGACCTCCAACGAGATGGGCAGACGTTTTGTGGATAGAACAGCTGAGAAGTCAACTGGGTAAGATCTTCGCCCGAACTCGTTGACTCAGCCGCCGACAACAGCCAAGAAGATCTTGGATGTCCGAGGCGAGGGATAGGGATCACTGGAAACTTCTGTACTAGGGCCCTCACTTCACGTGAGAACGGGCCATCTAACAAGGGAGTGGTCAGAAATCGAAGTGGCCAATCCAGATAAGCTGCATATCATTAGATGCAGCATCAAGCGCTGACTTTAAATCCGTCTTCCTTACCTGCTTATCGCTTTTCTGGACGAAGTTATAAGCCATTAAAGACCATTATTTTGCTTAGAAATTATGTGTGAAATTGAAAATTTAGCAGTACAGAGCCTCGTTCGCCTCAATGCTGGGCCAAAACATGCAGCTAGCTTACTTAAAATTTTTGAAGCCAGAAGCCGAGCTAGAAGTGCAACATGTGCTCAATTTCGCTGTTTTTATGTACGATTTTTTCACAATAAAACCGCTTGTAGCTTCGTCCACAGAAGCGGGAAGCAGATAAGGAAGACAGATTCGAAGTCAGTAATTATACTGCATCGAATGATATGCAGCTTGCTTGGTTTGGCCACTTCGACTTCTGACCATTGTAACTAATGCATGTTCATTTCAAAGTTATCTCAGTAAGTCACACTAATGGATCTTTTTTGCTATCGATTTTGAATGAGATTATGCTATTTGATGGGTTGTAAAGAAACAGATGCTGAATATACAGTGAGCTGGGAAGCGTGAAACATGCAGGCTGAGGTAAACGATACAATATAGCGAACATGAGTTCGTAATGGGACTCGCATGCACACTAGTCATATGTGTTTCGGTCTGTTTCCTATGTCTTTTCCCTTCCCATCGTCCATTAAACCAGCTAGTTATATCTTCACCTGGGCTACATAAGCAATTAGTAGTCGCAAAAAGCTGTTAGTCGAGGAATATACTCAAATCAAGAAGCTAATCTACTTTTCCTTTACTTTTTTTCTAGCGCATTAGTCTGATTAATTAACTGGTAACTTTTTCGTAGTAGGCAAAAGGTACACCTGCAAGAACATCTATACGAATTCATGTAGATCGTAGTCAATAGGTCGATTTCAAAAATCGCTTCACTAGAAATTGAAGCTCTGTTCCAGGTGTATTGGATATAGAAATTGTACATTGCAGAGCTGATTTGATTGATTAAATTTGATTCCAAAGAATCAAGCTTTGAAGGAACTGATTAAAAATGATGAGCGATAAAAAATAAGAAAGAATATGTAAAAATAAAAAAGGGTTCTCGAGAAAATTTCCGAAGATCATCAAGGGAGTGAAAATTTTACTGAGATGTGTGAGTAAAGTGATGATGCACTAAAGGAATGCAAGAGAATACAAAATTTCGTTTTCCTCTTTCTTACAGAAGGGCGGAGTTTTTTGCAATCAGCGGAAGTTTCTTCATTTCCTTACAATAGTACGTTATCTATTAAAAGAGATCTACTACTACGTTAAAGAAATTTTTTTCTGGTTTTTATAGAATACAATTCAAAGCAGTGACGCTAACGAATGCAGAGAACTCAAACGGCATGAAATGCAGTGATAAACTTGTTATGGAGTCGCACTTCCAGAGAAACCATCTTTCCATATATGACTGGAAGAACATAAAAAAAGCTGAGGCAAACGATAGAGGCATAAGTTATGAGGCAATTACAGAATAGTCGCAGGGCACCCCGACTGTTGCTGAGCAGAACGAACTGTTCTATTATAGAATGCGAATAAAAAGAGGAGCCTCATACTCGTTCCAAAAACCATGATATTTGCCATTCAGAGTGATCAGGTTTCAAAAATTGTTGAAGACAATGAAAAAGTGCGAGTATTTAGCACAAAGATCACCAAAAAGATACAAGAAGTCCACAACAATTTTTATCCCTGTTTCAACACTATCCGGTTTCAGGGCTGAGAACTATGTAGTATATTCGCAATCATGAATAGCGGGTGCTCAGAATCGCAGGCGAATCATGCTGAGAACCCAAAGACAACCGAACGGAAGGTCAGTGAAAAAGGCCAACTGAATGCACGCAGCGGAGAAAACGGCGACGGATAATTGCACGGCTCTGACGGTGTGACCCCACTCAGCATCAGCCTCTGTCAGCCACCGCGACGGTGTCATCGATGACGAACAGAAGCGGAAGGGATGCCGCACGAGTGAAACGTCGCTCGCTGTCGTGCGCGTCACACACGATAGCGAAACATCGCTTCCGAGATTCCGAAGCTGTATCTGCACTGAAATGTGCTGAACGGGTTCGAATATATGCGAGATGCCCAAAAATATCTAACAGCACCAGCACGGCGCTGGAACGGCGCTGGCACGGGATCTGAACGAGGCACCATACTGAGAAGCTCTCATCAACTTATATCTGCAGTGCGAAGCGAATCAACAATCGCTCTTCATTACTGTAAATTCCAAGTAACTTTCTTTGCCATTGAGCGCTTTTCGCTCCAAAATAATAGATCTTTAGACTTTTGTTATCGGATTAATCATTGTCGATGATCGAACAAGAATTTTCGTTCCCAACTCCACCTCCTCAGTCAAAAATGACGTTGTTAATAGCTTAAGCAACATAGTTCTTAGTTGTGCGTGAATAGCTTTGCAGGCGCACAAAACACACTTTGTGTTGTTAATATGCGTGTTTCAAATCCCTTTGTATAAAATGTCCTTTCTGGTATTCTCAGCGCTTAAGGGCAGTGTGTGGGCAAGATTTCGTTCCCCAGTTTTTTACTCTTTCGTAGCCTTCTCGCCATGAGAAAACCATATCTGGGCTCTTCACTACACGAAAATAGCGAAAATCAGCTTTTCGGAAGCTCTCCAGGTCCGCATTCATCAAAGATACCCCGGAAGTCTTATGCGCCCCCGTCTCCCTTGTTTCGGGCCCTGCCTACTTGCACGTATTGTCTACTGACGGGAGCTGGAAAGCTTTGGAAAAAGCTAATTTTCGCCATTTTCATGCGCTGAAAAGCCCAGATATGAGTTCCTTATGCCGAGAAGGCTCCAAAATGGTTAAAAACTGGAAAACGAAATTCTGCTGAGACACTGTTTTCAACTCACGATGATATTGAAGTGCTGAAAATCCTACCATGATTTTAAGTGACAAAAAGCAGAAACAGCATTCAAAACTAGATGACTGATAGGTGGCAAGATTTGTGTTTTACCAAATGCCGAGCATTTGAATTGAACGACAGCTAAGAAGCAACCGAAACTGAATCAGTTCTGTGTACTGATGTTGTAGCAACAAGAGCGGCTGTGCGAGCTGGAATCATCCCGTGGAACCACTCATATCTCGGGAAAAAAGCTACGATTTCAACATGCCTTAAGACATTAGCAGAAGATGCATTAGCGCTAAAATTCAGATCCAAAAAAAGGCCGGCTTCCCGGACTGCATATACACGCTCAATGACATAGGTATCTGTTAGGGAACCCTACTATGACCATTTTAATGAGTAGACATTGAAGGGACCACCGCGGCAAAACTCATTTTGAAGTCTTTTCAGTTCTCCTTGAAACGCTAAACCGAATAAACCGAATATGTTTTTCAGGCGCGAAAAATGGAAAGTGAAGCTTCTCTCAATAATGATAACTATGCTTATCTCTCTGGTTAAATGATATTTTCGTAATTTCTGGCTGTTTCCATGTTCGGGCCGGGGCGTACAGCTGGCATCGCGTCAAGCTGGATATCGTTTTTGGGACGAAAAGCAAAGGGGACATCGTTTTTGTGGCCGAAAAGACACCTTGCACATTTTTTCAGTCGATTTTTCGTTTTTTGTGTTTTTTTTACGTGTGCGATTTAGGCTCAAAGGGAACGTACGAGATTTTTAAGATCAAAGGAGACTCCGTTTTGAAATTTCTCTGGTGCCAGCTTGTGGCTATGATTCAGGCTCATGGCGGACCATGAATTTGGTTCATTCTCTGTGCTTGTTTGCAACTTTTAACGGCAATTCCATTAGTTTTGTCTATATGAAAATCGAAAAGTAGCAGAATAGCTAGCACCTGTTACGGCACAAGATTCTAAGTCATTCCAGATGATAAGCGTGAATTGATTCTAGCTTAGTTCCAGTTGGAAAACCGTATTAATTGCCCCATCTTCGCTATGACCCTTTTTATGCGAAATCGTTTCGCCAAAAAGATTTTGACAAAATAAGAAACAATTTGCAATGTAAGCATATGCAGTAGCTATACAAGTTACACTTTTTTCGAAGTCCACATTATGAGGAATATTTTTATCGAAGGTTAAGCAAGTAAACCTAGAAATATTAAAACAAAGACCGTAAACTGCTAATCACTTGAATCTGTCTCTATTTGCTTGTTCATCAATGGTGTGAAGTGCTTCTCTGCGGCTCCTTTGATTTCAGTAAAGAAGCAACGCTTCATACTTTCGAATCTAAACAGAAATCAGGGTATGAGGCAAGATTTTTTGAAACTTACCTCTCATAGCAAGGAGCGAAACTGTAATTGACAGGGGTAAAGAGATCAGGCCTTTGATCGCAGAATGTCAAACATTTGCTACCTGCTGCAGTAGTTGCGACTCCGCTGGCTTTGCAACACTGAAAATATCGCGTAATAATTTAAAATTTGTTTTGGGAACATTGTTCTTTGGCTATTAATCTCATTCTTGTGGGAGGGTCTTAACACGGAGAAAAAGTGCTCCTTATGAGTTAAAAAAGTCTAAATGATTTTTCTTAGTATTAGGACTCAAAACGATTTAATCAGTCGTATAAGACTTCAATAGGCTTTGTAAGAAAACTCTTGGAGGGCGTGTCCACCACCTCCCCCCCCCCTTTTTTTAGGATTTGGTGCTGCAGCTTGCAAGAAAAATCTGGAGAGCTTTGATTTATCTCAGAGGGCCTACCCTACCATCATCTGGGAAGAGCTGTGACGAGTCCTCCCATCCCCCCCCCCTATCCCGAAGCTGTCGCTGCCCTCCTCTAAGGCCTAAATACCTGACGATGATCCATTCCTTGTGCGGCACAGAACTGCATTTCCGGCAAGAATTCGATCGGACATGCATCTGTCCCGACAAACATGGATTCGAGCTGAAATGATTTTTGCGGTCCCTTTGGCCTACCATCACACTCGTTGCCCTTACCGCTTCTTTCTCGTAGGTGTTGAAATGACATTTCTGAACGCAAGCTGGTGGCAGACGACGTTCTTCACAGCAATGATGGAACAAAAAGTTCGGATTCTGAGAACGAAAGCAATGAATTGCATTTAGAGATAAAATGGATAAAGGTGGACTTACCGTGTATCGAGCGATGTTCTCTTCGTTGACGTCTATATCAGTTTTATTCCAGATTTCTAGTCCAAAGATGTTACCGTCGTCGCGAGGGTCCAGTGTGTCTGGGTTCTGGAAAGAAACAGTTTTGTTGCTTTTTCCCTTTTAGAAGCATAGTTGCTCGAAAGGGCTATGCTGTGAACGAACCAGTCGGAAAGTTTTGTTACTTTCTTTTCTAAAACTTCTAGGCTTTCACTTTAGATACTCTTTAGAAGAGGAAAAATCTCTAAAATGTTCTTCACAATCTTTTATGCCGTAATATTAATTTCTAGAGGGTCAATACAATAAATATAAAAAAGAAATTCACCAGTCAACTCCTAATACTTACAATCAGTCACGTATATGAGTCTTGCACAGGCGGTAGACCCGACTTGTAACTTAAAGGCACCGTCCACCAGATTCTCGACTTCCATGTTTGGTCGTTCCGGGGCCTTCTCATGCCCCTGATTAGGAATGTGGAACTCGAATCCGCAAAAACCCCGACAATCCCAATTCCGGAGAGCCCGCAGGCCGGTTTTTCGGAACGGTTATTGGATGGGCGCGCACGGGTGGGCGGGAATTACTGGAGGGGCGGTGCCTACTAGGGTTCGTGCCTCTTCGTTTTCCAAAAGGATCGCTTCCGAAGCGTCATTTTGCTTCGCGTTTTAAGCATTGGCTTGATAAGAGCTCCTACTATCGTAAGCGCTAAAAGTTCAAGATCCCTAGGGTGAACGGATTTGATGGTTAGGGTCGCGTAGCAAAAACTGAAAGCTGGCGAGATCAAATGGCTAAAATATCTGCATATCGAGTAGCTCTCCTTCGTCACCGGACAAAGAAAGGACGGACATGATTACTGCGGACTCCATCAACATTTTGTTGAATTTCGCTTACTCGACAATAGTTGTCAAATGCGCACTATTTTTACACTGCATTTACTTAACCGGTTCTGAACCGTCTACAAACCGTCCACCGTCTTTCAGGTATCTGTGCTAGAATGCTTTTGCTCAAAAATTTGCGCTCTCAAATGTTACACTATTCGCGCTTGTCATCCTCAATTTGAAAATTTGTTTTAATTTGAATAGCTCACCAAATGTACGCTATTAGCCGCTCGAGCTTTCGCCTTCGCCCTGCATCCGCAGCATCCACACGCTCCGTTCGACCTGCACTGAAAAGAGCCATCTTTTGCACAGCAAATTATGAAATATTACACTTGGTATGTTTAATACATTTATAAAATTACTAACCGCTTCAGAGAGCGCAATGAGCGCAATGACGAAAATCGCACGGGTGAACATAGTTAATGAGCGCCGGCGATTGCTGGCGCTTATATCGGCTCAGAAGCGGATCGCGTCAAGAGGGTGATTAGGGCATTGTAGGGCCAACTTAGCGCCGATTCGAGTAATTACTGCTTGTTTGAGCTAGTTTGCTTTCGAGCAGCTCAAGTGGATCCGTCTCTATTTTGGTATAAAGCTGCTGAGCAAGCTAATTGGTCTTCTTCAACCTTCATGATTCTGTTCATAATCCTTGCTGTGCTGATTACTCAGCTAGATGCTGTAAGTAAACAATGTTTGCAAAGTTCTGATTGTGTGACTGAGGTTGACCAATTTTTCTAGATCCTAAATCGTTAAATGTGCGATTGCACACGCTTCTATTGCGCGTGTAAATCTACGGGTGAACACATTCTTTGGAAAATCTTCACCGGTAGTTTCTGGCATATCTGACAGAAAATCGTAAGAAAAAGCCAAAAAAGCATTTACCCGAAAGAAATCCGCTTCTCAACAACGAATTCAACATGAGATGCACAGTATGTGCAGGGTGTGCAGTCGCACAATTAGGATAGAAACTATAGGCACACGCCATAGTTGATCCACTTGATCCGCTTGATCTACTTAATCCGCTTCGCTATTGGTTAAATATATGAAATGACCAATAGGCGAAGTGGATCAAGTGGACATCCGCTTCGCTATTGGTCATTTCACTGATTTGACCGATAGCGAAGTGGGTCAAATGGGTAAAGCGGATCAAGTGTGCCAACCATGGCATGAGCACTGCAGTAATCTGAGCTTAACCCTTTTTTCTGCAACTGCTCGAATTTTCAATGGCTATGTACAGATGGCCTTTAAACTGACAACGAATTCATACTTCGGAAATTTGAATTATGTTCCTTTTCAAGGGGTTCGCCTTTGAAGCTCAAAATTTTCAATTTCCTGTAATGGAAAAAATTTTTGCGATGGATTACAAAGCACGTCCTCAAACTGAACACCGATTTAATTTTCATTTAAAATCTGTTTAAGTGTGGTGGAGGCTCTGGATGTTGCCAGTCGCAGCAGCCACCACCGGTAGCTTCTTGTGGTAGTGGATGTCAACCTGGCTACAGCTGTGGTACGTACGGCTGTACGAAGAGAAGAGTCTTGTCATCTCTAACTAGGAGAATCGTGAGTTTGCCAAGATTTCTGCTAATGTCATAGTGTGCCCGAAAATCTATAGGATGGCGTCATAATTGGAGACGAAACTGGTGAACAAGCCCGTACACCGCCACTGAAGTCGAAGTATTTACAGCCTACGACTAACGTCTCCATTGAGCAGTTGATGGTAAGCGCATTTCTTCTTGAGTTCACCTCCGACTCCAATTTAGAATCCGAACTTCATCTTCCACTCCTGCTGCGAAGCACGTGGTCTTCCTGACTCTTGCCTCCATTATTGCCACTTCGATACCTACACAGCAAATGCTGTAAGTTTCTTCCTGAGTGATTTTGATACTCTGATTGAGGTCTGATAGAATAATAGAATGATTGCATTAGCGATCAGAGCGTTACTTGCCGTGACATGGCGAAGGAAAAAGCTGGCGGTATAATAGATAAGCTATAAATAAGAAAGAAACCTTATTATCAAAAAAATGTCTTCAAGAACTTTATGTTTTTATTGCTGAAGTAATCTAAGAACATCCAGGATCCATGTGGTCGATGCCTTAAAACTCCGGAGTGGAGATCCCAAGTGTAAAGAAAATGATTTTAATTGAAGACCAACTTTTGCAGCTGGAACGCATGTACAGGAAAGAAGACAAGTGTCCTATCGAAGCTGCACACGAAATCCACTACTGCGCTGCTCAAGGAATTGATCACACTAAGGTACATGTTTTAAGCATTCATGAGCCAACATTTATTTATTTATTTTATTTATTGTTACATAGGGTTATCCCTATGTGCAAAATCGGACAATAAAAATAAAATGTAATACAAAAAACACCAGAACAACGCACATTGACAGTATGAACAAAAAAAACAGCCTGAGGTATAAAAGATCAAACGCAGCTTCTTGATTGTAAGTAGCTCTTAATATTTGTCTTGAAGGTAGATAGCTTGGCTGCCAACATTCCGTTCCTTACCATATATCAAGATCAGGTAAGACTCGGCAAGTAAAAAAGTTTGCTCTAACTTTGGACTTTGCACTTGGTATAACTACATAGTTTCATTTGAAAAATCACGATTGCTTTCAAGCTTCTAACCCGTAAAATGTAAGTTTCACTTTATGGACCAAAATGATAAGCACCTAGGTAGCTTGGGTGCAAATTCACCAGAGCTCGGAATCGGCAAAAGCAGTTTGCTGGGATGTTGGTACTAACTGATTTTGTATCTTCGTGCAAGACGACTACCTTCGCTCACAACTATACAAGAAGAGCGTATCTCATAGCTCAGTAAACAATAAGAAATGTTGGCACCTGCCATTCAAATGTTCAAAATGATTTCTCTTCGTACTGGTGTTTGTTTATCTTTTGTCATTGTGCTGATTATTTATGATTTTATGCCCCAATAACTCATTTCAGTGCTGTGCAAGAAGTGGTGTAGCCGATACTGTAGCAGGGGACAAATGCCTGTCTTTCTGTGATCAACGACCGAATAGGTAAGCAGTCAAATATCATAGACAGATATCAATATTAATAATCGAACACAATCATAAAAGGTTTACATCTATGTAGGAAATAGGCGCTACATTTCAATTCACGAATTCCCCGAATAAGCTCGCAATTTTCCAAAGTCCAAAAATCATTCTGAAGCAGTAAAATCTTTTTGAAAACATTCTGAGATCCCCTTGCAGTTGTTTTCTGGAAGAGTCAGCACAATGAAGGCCGTCAAGATCTCATTTCTCATTTCTGTAGAGGGACAAATTTAATATGTTTCTGCATCCAAATAAGCGGAATTTTTTGTCAAATTTTCAAAGCGATAAGAAGTAACTCGAGTTTCAGATTAACTCCACTTGATGTGTCGTACCTGCCATGCTATGACATCTTCGAAAATATGAAGCGCTGTTTCTTCACGGCGATCCGAGCGAAGGCGCAAGAGAAGTTTGGCAAGGGCAGAACTTCTCGTTTGATTGACCAGGGCAGTGCTGACGGCGAATTCTAGCCGAGGCCGAGTTTTAGCTCTGCTATATAGACGCTTCACTTGCATTTGAAGTTTGTAGAAAAATTTGAATAAAGCTTATGCTGCCCATTTTGTAAGCTTTACTGCAATTTGCATTCCGTAACTGGTTTTTGCGGATGAATCGTGTGTAAAAACGAGTCGAATACGTTCGCTACAATGTTTGAACAGCGACATCGTCACCTTGAACGCGTCTGCTTCTTCCAAAAATGCTGCTGTTCATCGTTTGTCTTCTAGTATTTCATGTACTTGCTGTAAGTGTACTATTTATATAGGACAAAAACTTCCCAATTTGTCTTCCGCTTGGGCATCACCAGATTTGAGGAACAAGATTTTTGATCAAAATTTGACTGTCGTAAGTTATGTGGAGCAAGTGGGTGTTGAATTTCAAAAACAGATTTTTATAGATCGCGTCATATCAAATTAAATTAATTCGTATCGATATTTACAGCAATGTGTTCTGTTCTTAGTGTCACTCCGTAAGCTTAAGTAGAATAACTTTTCTTTGCTAAAATTCCATAAAAAGAAGCATTAGATCTGTTATAGTGGCGTGCGAATGAACTTTACTGAATGAACTTAACTTTTTCTACAATTATACCGCGATTAACCCATTTCGGATTCAAAAAGTAATAGCAGTTATTGTGGGGGGATAGGAGCAGTTAGTCGTGTTGAGAATTTGCCTCGTAATTGATTCTGACCAAGTTCGCTAAGAACTTAGGTCACAGAATAGCAGTAATTTGAAAAATGTTCTTATGAACGTACAATATAAGTATGATCAGACATTTTCCAGTTATCTGACCGTCTAACCAGGTGGTAAGAGATTAGACGGCTGGTTCGACCCTGTTTTCAAGGTGTAAATATTTCCTTGGGATGTACTCTGAAGATACATGGCCAGGTTCTTTTTCCTGTAAAAAAAATTGAGTTTTCTAAATGTGGCACATGCACATACTCCGAGGGAAACTACAATAAAAACTTTCTATAGCTGTGCCCCCCAAATCCTTTTCCTTAGCCCATATAGTCTTTATTGAAAAACACCTACATATAACATCGCGGACACGTAGAAACTGAAAAGTTGTGCAAGGTGCGTCAAAAGTGTGGGAGTACTTTGTAGTATAGTAAATTACAATGTACTGTATTTTCACTTCAGTTTTATGCTACATGTTGCTGCAATCTCTCCGCACAATATAGTTGTTCAAGCTTGAAATGCTTGTTACACGTTTTTGTGAGAACTGAAGTTGTCAAGCCAGTAAATTGCAAAGCAAGAAAATCAAATTCTGGATCATTTTATTCCATAGCTGGACATAATTAGGAATTCTTCAGCAGTTCAATGCTCGTAATGTAGAGGAGGCCAAGCACTATTATAATGTAACAGCTGTGTTTGCCAGAAGTCATTTGAGCCAAAAAACTTATTTTGCGAATGGTCAGTGGTACCTATCTTCAGAGCAAATTTGAAAGGCATAGGAGTAGAAGTGCAGTAGTCACTGAGACAGGTTTAATTATTTCCATATGCCTACTGTATACTCTATTTGACGGATAACGGAACAGTTTCAATGCCACTTACAAGGGTAGGATGATTTGCAAAGTGGTCTTTTGAGAAAGGATGTGCACCGCTGTGAAGCACATGAAACGCTGAATCCAAATCTGTCTTTCTTATCTGCGGAGCATTGCTGGACGAGGAGTTGCGAGCGTTTATTGGAGCAAAAAAAATCAAAAGTGGAAATAAGGTAAAAATAGTCGCAGGCTTTTCCCCAGCGCTTAAATGGAGCAGTGAAAAGTATCAGAGCATTTTATGCATTGAATACTCTTAGTTGATACAGCCGAACTCCGCTGCTTCATTTGAGCGGTAGGAATTTTAGCACTGATTTTATCTTGAGAATTCACCACATATTCTGCTCCTTTTGCTCCAGTAAACATCCCTAACGCCTCCTCATGAAAGTTCCGCAGATACGGAAGAGAGATTTGGAATCAGCTTTCATGCTCTCCATGATGGTGTTTTTCACTCAAAAGGCCACTTCGACCAACCATCCTTCCCTTGTTAGACGTTGATCTTTGTTTTCCTTCGCGCAATGCATTTCGGTAAGTGAGGTACACATGCCTTGACTTGAAATTCCAATATTTATTGTGACATTACAAGAATTATTTGTTAGCCTGTCGCTCAAAATCTGTTCTATCGCGGTGCATATTTGCTGAATGAAAAAGTAATTAAAGCAAGGCATCGAGACATAGCGACTACCTGCGTATCATGACGTGCACTAGCCAAGGTTATGGAGGCCTTCGTCAAGGCCAACAAACTCTAATTCAGGAAAGAGCTGAGCTATTTCAGGTGTTTGAAATATGTTTGCAACAGGTTTGTTTATAGATACTTGCCTTCTAATTTCATCGGAAAAACTATCTGACTCCCAGACTTTTCACGCACCCTATACACTTCAAATTTCAAGACTCTAAAACCGTTGGAGCAGCATCTCCCACAATTTGATAATGCTATATAAGCATCGGTGAAGCAGATTATTCACTTTATACATCCAGTATATGAATGAAAATTTTTTGTGGATGAAGTGGTACAATAGAACTCGATAAATGGTTGTAAGAAGTATTTAATTTTTTGTTTCCTGCCTTCAAAGAGCAAGTTCTCATGTCAACATACTTTCAGTGTCTGCCCGACATAGACTACCTCCCTCCACCCATCATTCACACCGAATGTCTCAAAAGAGAGTAAGTGGAGTAGATACTCAACCTTCACGCTCTTTCCCAAAACAAAAAAAAATATGGGCAAATGCTTTCACTCTAGAACAAGATGCCCGTCGTGGTACCGATGCACTAGTGACAACTGTAGGAAAGCAAGAAAGTTACATGGCATTCTCAGCGAAGAAAAAACGCGAAAGGTATAATAATACCTTATTCAACTTTTTCTCCGAAAAAAAAAACAGACGTTTTAGCTACTAGATTTTTTTTCAGATCGAGATTCCGGATCACGTCGTTACCACTCTCGAGGTATATTGAAAGCCTTTCGTATTATCAAAACGAAGTAACTCACCCACATTCTGAGGCACATGCACGTATTCAATTTATAAAATCAAACTTCACTGATTTTTTTTGCAAGGTCAGGTACTTTAGTGAATTTGGGATTTTTCGAATTTCACATCACTGCTGTAACAGACTAAATTTAGCTAATAATCAGATTTGATGACTTGAGAGCGAGGAGGCGGGGGGGGGGGGGAGAGAGGAGCAACGCATCTCAATGGCCAACATTTTAGCTTATTTAAACCAGCACCTTACATGTTAAGAGACCTGAATACTAGGACAAAAAGTGCCTAAAATAAAAAGCTCCTTTTGCTGAAGCCCCTTCAAAAGCTCTGTAAAGAAAAGGCTCTCTAACCAATGAAGATGATATCTCCAAATGTTGTTTGTTTCAAAAAATCACTGGATTGAAATATTTTTGCAGTAGCATGTCATAAAAAATCTATTTGTCATCTATTCCGAAAATCAATAAACAATCCAAATAAGTGGTTCACGCGAGAAAAAGCGATAGTAGCCCACGAGTCGCGGACCGGTCAACGCCATGTGGCCCGAACAATAAATAGCCGGTTACATCATCGCTTCGCCCACCTAGCCGTCACTCTGATTTTTGACGTGAACGAATTTTTTTATGATAAAAAGTTTTTGAGAAGCTTTCAAAATTTTCCAAAGACTTATACCTGAAATATTTTATAAATAGGCACGGCCGCACCAGATGGTTTTTTTTTGCAACCATTTGAAATTTATTGTTGAGCAACGCTTGCATAATTATGTATACATGTAGACTATTCAAAAACTTGGCACGGGGATTGGTCTTTCCAAATTTAGCGAAGTTTTTTGTTCTTAGCCTTATCGTAAAACTTCTTTTCCTTTTTCTAAAAATCGGTAATCTTCAAAATCTCCTCTAAAATATACCTGAGAATGACTTTCTCCGTCTTTTTTGAGGTAACTATCCTACTCGAATTAGGATAGGTTATTTATTATGTTTCTTTCAACATTATTTTCTTTTTACAGCTAGCAAATGGTTTGTTCGAATATTGCTGCCGCAGAAGTCCCATTCCTGATCAGTGCATGTCTGTGTGCAACTACGACAAGTACGACAGTCTTATGGTAAGGTTGCTCCCCCCTCCTCCTCCCCCCCCCCCCTCCCTTCTGAAAAGCTCCGAACATTCATTATCCTCTTTATGGGTCTCGTCGCTGATGGTAGGACAGAGTGATTGTCCACCATCTGCTCTATCAACTATCCACACCTGCGCGTCCCGAGGCGAAGATCAGCAGGAGTGCTGCGAAAGGGCTGGAATACCCACACTTTGCGTTCGCTACTGCAATCCTTCGGCGACACCGATGAACACGACATCGCGATTCCCGTGCCTTCTCTATTTGGACAAAATGAAAGGTGAATCAAGAGTGATCCCTTCTTCTTTCGAAAACTTTTTAAAATTTTCTAGAATGCTTTTTCAAAAAATCAACAGATGAGTTGGAGAAGTTCGAACCACCTATACAAGTGGATGACTACACGAATTTCTGACCGTACTTGGCATATGAGGGGCTTTGGTGCAATATATTGTTGTGCAATTTTTGTTCTCTGTGCAATAAGAATCACGTGGTATCGATGTGTAATATCATTTGTAATTTTTTTTTGTTTTGTACCTCCATGTGAACTCGTATTTTTGACTCACTTAACTTATGAATAAATTAATTTCTTTGGCTTGTTGATCTAATAAGATACCACTTCTCTGGAGAAATTCATGTTACATTAGTGTTTCTCAATATGAAATTACACTAATCACATACCTTAAACTCCTAATTCTTCATTTTTTGTGGATTCCTTCGAAATCTCTAGGTCTCACCTTAGTTCAAAAGAAAGCGACCTCATTTTTCGCATCCCTGCAAACGAAAGAAGAAGGATTCACCCGTGAAATTTCTATGATATTGTGGTTAACCCCTTCCGCATGAGTTGACATGACGATATAGCGTATACACATTCGCATGATTCAATCCGCATAAACAAAAAACAAGTGAATAACGACGTATATCGAGAGCAACGAGAATAAATCATGACTGCTAGTCTCGGCTTCCAAATGATCTGTACTCTATGCGTTGAAAAAAACTTCCTATGCATTTCTAATTGTCAAAACTACTCAAAAGAGAAAGAAGACTGTGGCTGTGTGATTTTTGAAGTTCAAATAGAATTTTGAGAAAAAGAGAGAAGTGTGTATCGATCAAATAAAACACAGATATGCTTCATCGAGAGCCTTTCTCTTTGTGGAAACGAGTAAGTGTTTGTTCCTAAGTAGAAGATGCGCGAAGTAAAATAACGAATGACTACGGTTAGCATCATAAAGGACATTTGATTTCTGTTAAGGGAAATATTGGACAAACAGAGCAGACACTGGGCTACACGCATGTTTTAAATTCTTACAATTTCTGGTTCAAAGCTTGGTAAATCATTTCTTACGAGTTCCCTTTATGTGGTAACGGTAGAAACTATGGTCTAGGGGTCTGGTCCAGGCATCAATATCTCAGATGCGGTACACCGTCTGAGCTAGCTTAGGTGAAGTAATCTGAGCTTCCAAAATCAGTTCGCGATCCACATGTGTCCAAATTTGAATGATGGGTGGAGGAAGATAGTCTATGTCGGGCAGACACTAAACAAAGCTGACATGAGAATTTATTCTTTGAGGGCAATGAAAAAAGAAAAATTGTATTTTACAGTAAAAACCCAGTTTTTCGTACCACTTGAATTAGAGAATTTTTTGTGTAAATGTAGAATATACTTGTAGATTATCAAATGCACTATCCCATTATTTTGCAATTTGCAATTTGGACGCTGTTTTTAGCTTATCATTTTTACACAACATTTACAAATATTTTACCTCGAAAAATCAACTTTTTGGAATTTTCATTATGCGTCAGCGGTGTGTACTCAAAATTGTAAGGCCCTTCTCAAACAAGGATTATAATTCATAGTTCAGTAATTTAACTTATGCAACTTAAAATGACTGAAACATAGCAAAACTATTCGTTCTTTTTTCAAAATGTTGGGATGGAAACTGCAAGAATCCCTAGAATTTTGGCATTATTGTGAGACTTCTCATACCAGACGATGTTGCAAAGTCAGCATAGGTCATGTAGAGAAAAGAGGAAAAATCTAAATGATACTCGGATAGCTTATTTATTTATGCCTTTTAGTGACCGACCAAGAAAAAAAAGACCAAACTTTCGGAAAATCCATTGAAAATCTATCATTTAGTTACATAAGTTTCCCTATACTTGACAGGAAAAACTCCTTCAAAAGTTCTTTCCAAGTGCAAGTTTAATGAAGAATCGTGGTTTTTTGACGTATGTGACTGACTCAGAAAACCCAATTTTTGAATTTTTGAAATTTTTTACTTTTTGGCAAATTTCCTACTTGCGTCATTGAAGAGCTGAATCTTACAAACTTTCTTAATATTACTAATGACGCTCCCCAAAGTCCATTGAAAATCTAAGAAGATGAAAAAGAATGGGAGAATTTTTGCAAAATAAAGAAAAAGTCGAAGAGTGTAATGTCCTCCGAATCTGCCTATATATTTACTGTAATTCGTGTACTAGAAAGAAAATAATGCCAATGGATAGACCTTGCTCCCTTCTTCGTGACAGCCAAACATGAGACTTTGCTGAACTCTCTAGGCTTTTCCAGAGGAGGACAAGGAAGTGTAACAAGTTTTATGCAGCAAAGTAATTCTTCACTGCATTATTATCGTAGTTGATTTTGTAGGGTATTGAAGAGAGCTTTTGTGCAATCTTGAAAGTCTTGAGGAACAACTATAAAACGTACGTCCCAATGAGCTTTGGCAACATTAATGCTGGACTGTCGAAATTATAAGCTCAGTTTTTTTGACTCGCTGGTCTGCTAAAGAGCTACATGAGAAGCAAAAAAACCCGTGTATTCTCGGCTGCTGCACTTTTCCCCGCGCTGCTGTGTGAAAATTTTGGCAACAAAAGCGGGATGCGCGCGCCACTGTGCCTAATCCAAAGGAGAAATCCAGTATATTCGTCGAACAAGAGGGGCTCAAAACGGCAGAATGACCTTCGTTGGCAAGAGCGGCTCTTAGCTAACAAAGAGAGCGGCTATGAACTGGTCAGCAGCGTGGAGCTTCGGCCTCCTCAGCCGGGGTGTTTCAAATCGGGCTGCGCATCCGGTTCTTGCGCACCACATAAATGCTCTCCGATCTCTCCACCCACTTGTTTTATCCACGCACTCACTTTCCTCTAATACAACCTCGTTTTGTGTAATATTTTTGCGAGCCAGTCCACTCTGCTCCACATCCCCGAATAGCCACGCTTACAGGCCATCTCCCTACGATCTCATTCCCGCCGCCGAGCCACACTGCCCATGTTCTTGCTCCTTCTATGTACTGTCTTGGTGCGATTCTCCTTCCAGGTGAGCATCTTCCGCCTCGTCCCCAGAAGAAGCTACAACTTGTAGCATACTATATAAAATCTCATTCGTACCTAACTATACCAGCAACAAGTCACACACGGTGACAGGTGGTTATGCCAGCCTTTGACGACAAAATTGATTCGCTTCGGAGCAACAACCGAATCGCTCTGCTTTTATCTCGCGCTATTCTCGACTGAAAATCAATGGCAGTACAAGCGCATTGACACTAGTTTTTTTCGACAAGCAAAATTTTTGCGTTGTAGAAATGTTCACAATTTGCCTGATTCTCTACAAGTGATCTACGCAGCATATGAAATACCATATCCTATGTGGACGGTTTGAGAAAGGGCTAGCGATGATCCTATTGCTTACGCAGGGCTTCTTTTTCTTCAGCTGATTTAGAAACCATCAATCGAATGTGCGGCATATGAAAAGTGTGGCCATGATATGTAGGTGACATATTGAAGGCTTTACAGATCTCGCTCAGATTCCGCATAGCTAATACAAGTGTAAAACTTCGTCATATCTCCAGGATATCTCCAGATTTCATGCATCTCATGGTAGTTATATATCCCAATAAGCCAATAAACGAAATCCTGCTATCTTTTCATTTTTGTGCGAAGTGAAGTTATGCTCAACGCTGAAAATTATGAATACCGGAATAGTAGGGGAATCTCAGACCAACTTGATCACAAAGCGATTTAGAAAAACTTTGCATGGACTTCTGAAGAAGGCATCATTGCCAACCTGCTTATTCAAATGATGCTGATGTTAGCGAGAATTCAATGACAACTCATCTGCACGGGTTTAGAAAAAATTGTTCTACAGAAACTGTTGTCCGAGAGGCAGGACACCGATGGTCCACATGATTGTTGTTTGTGGATTAATGGTGTTGGGGCAAATCAGTGCAACATATGTTTATCTCACAGAAATTTTTTACAAGTATCAATGCAAAACTTTCTTCAAGGCGTTTCTTGAGGGAACCCTTTCTATCATAGAAATGAGGGATAATGACTTACTCAAAAAGCTTCACCAATTTCGACTACGCAAGGAAGAGTTACATCTCCCCCAATCAAGATAGGTTGTCCAGTAAAGTGCAATTTCCTTTTTTCCTTCTCCTGGCTCTGTTCTTTGTCCATATGTTGCAAGTAACGGTCGTGTATTGCACGCAACAGTTTTTACCATAGTAATTTATTAATGATGGCAAGTTAAACTTCCGCTCCAATGTTGTTTGGACTATTTTGAGTCTTAGTTTAGCTTTTTCTTTACCACTTTTATCCTTAATGAGCTAGCTCTATCACAGGCTTTTACTGTAAATTCATTTGAACTGTCCAAAGCACTCTTAGAAAAGCAAATCTCAATTTTGCTGATTTGTTTCTCGAATAAAAATATTCTTTCAATAACTTGGCTACAGCCAAATATCAGCCTTCCCATCACAACTTTACTCATAATCCGGTAAGTTCCATAAATAAGGCCTCTTTTGAGATTAGAGATAGACACTACTTTATTTGGCGCATACGTATAACATATCATTGAATGTGTCCAATAACTAACTTATTCATCACTTTTCGTTACATTGCTCAAATGACTTTACCCAAACTATGACTCCATGTACTACTATGTTGCTCTGTAAACAAGTTACCGTAAACGTATCTATTAGACTGTCTCATAATTTTTTTACAGTTTTTATTCCAACCGCCGTCTTTTTGTATCTTTCCTTCATCTGATGTGGATTAAATAATCATTCGACAGGGCAAAGCAAGCTCTACAAAATGGCTATTAAAAGTCTGCCCAGATCGTATCCCACGTGAAGTTCTAAGGTGAAGTCTGATAGTAGTCGGAAACGAACATTTCTGTCAAAAATAGTATCTCCGCCCCAAAGTATCTAAAAAATTTCCCATTCATCCTGGCATCTGCTCGACACATCGCACATTCAGCTGCACACTTCTCGAATTTTTGCATAGCTAGAAATAAAGGAAAAAATGAGTGAGATAAAATGGCAAACTCCGCCCCTAGACGTCCAGAGCTTCACCCACGCATGTGATCATATGCTCACACACAGAAGTACGATCATGTATTTGTATCCTTTGTAGGTGCCTCAGTCCTCGAGAAATGCTGATGTTTAGGTTAAAAACGGTAAAAAATTATGAGACACCCTAATAATATATAAACACTCCCCGCAAATAAACCCTCCCTGGCTAGTAAGTTCGCTCAAATAATAATCTCGCCTGCAGATAATACTTTTGCACGGCAATCTGCTTATCTTTGAAAATAAAACGAAATTATCTGCTGGTTGACTTTCTTGAAAAGAAGCGGACTTATATGCTACATTTTAGGGTGTATTACATTTTATGCATTATACATGGGGACATTCCCTTTTGATATCACATCTAGCTCCGTTCTCCTGTAGAATACCCCAAATTTAAAACACTTCCTGATACCACATATATGGTTCCATGACATTTCATTTTCTAGGAGTAACACTTCCAGAATGAGGTAGTTGTTGCGCATTCAAAGCAAAATCACCAATTTAGGGCCTTTCCATATGTAAGTTATAGAAGATCTTCAGAGATCGATTTTTAGTGGTGCGTCGGTTGGGAGCTTCTACGGTCGAGTTAGTCTTTGAATGGCTTAACACCTGAGAGTAAAATAGTTTTTTTAGCTTGCTAAATTCAAATCAAAACAATCATTCAATATCAAATTCTCTATCTCTCTTCTTTTTTAGTTCTTCGAGAAGATCGGGATCGAACATTGCTGGCTCGCCAGTGACAATAAAAAATTCCAAAAATGTGAATGACGCATAGAAAACCAGTATTGTCACCGTACAAATCGTGGAAACAGAAAAAAAACAACGCGACGATTGGCATTGTTCTTACGCCTCACTTCATCCCTTCTGCGCCATATTTTTTGTTGTGCGAGGGCTAAAAATGGTTGCAGAAATGTGAATCACGAGAAGAAAACGCGATTTTTGTGGCAGAAAAAAAGGAAGTAACAAACAGAAGAGTGCTAGATATAATTATCAATACTTATGTTGACAGTGCCTCAATTCTGGAGTCTGTGGAGGTAATGGTGGTTATTGCGCACCTCCTGCACCCCTGCCATGCCAACCGTCATCCTGTCAGCCAGGATATACCTGTGGCCAATATGGCTGTGCTCGGAATCGTGCTCGGAGTGCCTTGACGAAGAAAATCGTGAGATTTCTATTTTAACCTTTTCGTCAATTTTTTGGAAGTTTCAGAGCGGCATATTCGTTGACGATCAGTCAACAACGCCATTGCCAAAAAAGAGCGATGATGGTAGCCGGGAAAGGAACATATACGGACTCAGCCGTGGGGTCACTAGACCACCCCCCACGTTTACATCTGCAGAGCGCGAACAAGGCGATAATGTCACCATAAATAAGCTGACGGTAATAACGCAATGTTTTTTCCGAAGCAATTTTGGCAAAATTCCATGGCGAATTTGCAGAATCCCAATTTCATCTTCCGACAATGTTGCGAACAGAGAGGACTTCCTGATTCCTGCCTTAACAAGTGCCATTTCAATACCTACACTCGTGATGCAGTTAGTTTCTTCATACAGCTTATGAGATAGATCAGAATTCTTTCAGCTGCAAGCGATGTATTTTAAAACGGATCCATGCCCCATTGAAGCAACTGCCGACATGCACTTTTGCGCTGCTCAAGGACGAGATCATAGAGAGGTACGAATGAATTACCAAGTTAGGCTTGGTGACTCGCCCTATTTTCCGGCTTTTACTTTTTGTCTCTTGATTCTGTCGCTCTATCAATCAACTCCACCCATCTTTCGTACTACATCTTATCGAAGACAAGCATCATACAAATGAACCTGATGTCAATAGCATCTTATTCCTCTCTCTGTATTGAATTTTACCAATTATCCAAAAAGAACATAAGGCTGGGTAGAATTCAGAATTGTGTGCTGTTGTTGCGCCAGGTCCGTGCCAGCGAGGTGTCAGCGCCGTTGGAACCCACGTGGATAAATTTCTTATTGATCGATGTCTCGCCCACAGTTCCAGCACGGCGCTAGTACGGAAATAATTACAATTCCCTATTCCGGTTACGGAAGAGTTTCAACGTTTGCCAATGCCTTTCGGCAATGGATAGGTCAGCTGATTTTCCATTGTAGCGCGCGCTCAACGCAGCAGCGATGTAATTTACTCACGAACTATTTCACATGATATCCTCAATCTTGATATAAAATCTAACTTTACATCCACATTGTTTGACTCTTGAAGATGTTATAACATTATCAAGAAAAGGTCGGCACAAAATTTCACCAACTCCTATCTCTACTCTCTTTCTTGTAAATTCTCTGGATCTGGCTTTCTTTGAAGAGACTTTTTGCATTAACTGGTTTTCACTTATTTGCCCTTCACTGATTCTGGTGATATATACTGCGCTTATCGTTTTTGAGCAATGCCATATGCATCATATTGATTCTGCCCTCAAAAAGAAAATTTCTTTGGAATGCTTCTTCAATTATTCGAGCTCACCTAAATTCAGAGAAAAAGAGGTCAACGTGTCAAAGAAGAGGGGTGAAATTATTTAAAAAAATCAAAATTCGTCAAAATTTTTCTTTTTGTGTGCATCGTGTAGGATTTGATAAGGACAAGATAAAAACAATTTTTAGGGTTTTTTAAACATTGTTTTCCATGTTGAATTACGATTTCGCGCCAACATGGCGCACCATCAACTTGCGCCAGTACCGCCCGATGTAGTACCGATGGATAGAGCTTTGCACCCCGTCAAAATGCCTCAAACATGAGGTTTTTCAAAAGCTCCTTAAATTTTTAAGAAAAAAAGTGGAAGTGTAATAGAAATTATAGTCAACCTAATATTGGTGAACTGACAGGTTCCAAGCTGAAAGGGTAAGATTAGATGAAAAAATATAGGTAGGTCACTTATGAAATCGTGAGAATGGCGGTTGCGTAAGCAGTCTCCTCAGCTGTTGTTTCTTACTTTCGTCTCTTTTGGAAGAACCTTTTGCACGCATATGATAGCTGCTAGATACTTGACTGTGTGCTAAATTGCTATCTTTTATTTGTGTTTTACATGCCCCTGTAAAGCTTCGGTGCGCGCAAAAGCCTTAGTCGAATCTTTCCTCACGATTTTATAAGTCCATATACTAGAATGTTTCAAAAGTTCTATCCGATTTTCAGCTGTCCTATTTAAACGCAGCTACCTTCTTAGAATTTTGCCGTAGTCGCAGTATTATGAGTACTATCAAAAGCATCTTTCTCGCTCTTTCCAGTGCTTGCTAAATCTCGACAAAATAGCTTTCCCGTAGGGAATCTTTCAAGCCTTGAAATTAAGGTACCAAAATGCAATTATGCTAAAAAAGTTTCTATGCGAGAATTTTGACAGTACTTGTAAAGTTTCCTATTGAAAATTTTATAATGATTGTGGGTAATGGACTAACTTATGCACACTTTTTCTCTCATATAGATAACGTCTTATTTTTCGAATTTTTCTACCAAAATCTGAACACAAGCCACTTATTCAACAAGCGACAGCAATCTACGAATAGCGAAAAGTGATATGTACAATACTGCATATGATAGAGTAAAGCGAGAGCAAGCAGGGGCCACCGCCAATCAGATCTTTTCTTTCGCAACAACAAGAAAAAATCAAATATCGAAGAGTCGGCATATTTTGCGCGCGCAGAGGAGGGCTCAAATAATGGATTTTTTATCTGGTCGTAAAAATTTCTGTGCAGCAAAGATAACTCGAATTCTCTTTAGCCTCAAAAGAATCTTTGAAGTATAGGCAACTCAATGATGGTAGATAAATCTGTCTGCCTATCTTTCTATGGAAGCATTAGTACGTTGTAAACGGTTTTGAAGGAAATCTTGCAAAATTCTCTCGATTTTCTCTTACCCTTCACTTAACTTTTTCGCATGGCATACTATTCATGTGATAGCCTTAATCTCGCATCCAGCAAAATTTGATTTGTTAAAAAATGTTTATTTAGAAAAGAGTAATAACATTTTGAATCAGAAAATTGCAAATCAGACAAATTTTGAAACAACCTAGTACTAGGTTTCATGAATTGAGTCAGTTAAGCAAGCGTGAAACTCCACTGAAAACGTTAGTCTATGACCAACGATACTTTCCGCAGTTTCAGCGAGAAATTTGAATAAAAATCTGGGGTAAATCTTCTCTACGCCGAATTCCTTTCTCACAGCGTTTTAACAAGATATATGTCTTACACTACGAAGGAGACAATGGCCGCAACAAAATTTTCAGAAGCAGGGAGACTTGGAAATAGCTCTCTCTGCATGTAGAACAAAGCTAGCTGAGGGTATTAAATTGCTTTGCAATTCAGTTTTGGAGAGGGAAGACGATTAAGAGGCGCGCTTTCTCCAAAGAGCATCGACCCAACAGTCCAATTCAGAGCAATGCAGGTCTTTCGAGATCATCAGACAATATTTTCTAGCTTATGAGCTATCTAAAATTATTACTTCCTAAGTTTGACGGCTGCGAAATAATGAATTGATATCTTCACAACATTGCCTTTGGTTGGATTTTTAAGGGTTTTTGGGCTTCAACATTTGTGTTTTATATTCAAGGTAATATGGTTGAACAGCCAATGCAACAATCATCTTCTTTGGAAATTTCAAAGGTTTCTAGAACGTCATCAGAGTAAAAATACGCTATTTGGTGTCCACAAGCTTCACAACGACCTACTGATCTCAGTAAATAAAGCTTGTTTGCGTGTGTGTGCCTGCATGTCTGTACGTATGTTCCAAATGGAAATTTTCTCTAAACCAATCCGGATCGAATTTTGCACACATACACTGCGGAGCGGAACGGATGTCATAGGCTACTCTTCGTTGTCGATCGACATCAATTTTGTCAATTCTTGCAAAGTTTGAGCTACGGGGCTGAGAGTTGGGACAGGGAAGCAAGAGAGCTATGCTGATTACGAATGTATTAATGACAGGGCCGGCGAACCCAGGTTGCTAGCTAACATATCATGAAACCAGGAACAGTCAGAGAATCAGCAATCAGAGATAACTATTTCTTAGATTTATCTTACACTAGCTGGTATACCCAGCTCTGCCTGGCCTTTCAAAACACTATGACAAAGGTCCCATCCCTCCCTGTACAATCTTACCCTGCGTCCATTTCTACATGCCAATTCCCTATTCCCGTTCTGTTTCCGAAATCGGAGTGTCCACTTACTCCCCTGTGCCAGCTCCCAGTCAAAATTAGCAATTTAGCAAAAAATCGACAAATTCGATAAAAGTAATTGATAATCAAACTAATTTTGTGTTCGTAATCAGGATGCTCACAAACCCCTCTGTGCTGACTATAGACTACTGACCAGCCCCATAGCTCGGACTTTGCAAAAAACCGATAGAAATCGATAAAACCGATCGATGACGAAATGGCACGACACCCGCCCCGCCCCGAAGTGTATGTGTGTCAAGTTTGGTCCGGATCTGTTCAGAAATGGAATTTTCTGTTTGGGTCTGTGAACATATGTGCAGCCAAACAAACTTTCAGCTTTATATATACCCTTTTCAACTGGATTGGCGGCTGGAAGGCGAGGTTTTGTGACCTAATTAAAGCTAGAAAATGATCAGAGTGCAGGTTTGCAAGGAAGACGGAAACTGCATCGTGAACGCGAGCGGTCGCCTTCCAGCCGCCAATCTCATTGAATCAAAGGGTAAGATTGTTGAGTATCCGAGATTATAACGATATCCGAGATACATAAGAGTCCTGCATAAAATGGTCGTAACCCAGTATGTGTCGCAAAAAACGTAGATTGTGGCGCAAGAGCTTAATCGCTTGGCTCCAGTTTGAGGATGGTTGAGAGTATAAAAGCTTTGTCTTTTATAGCTTCAAAGTCTAGCTAAAATCCTTGGTTACAGTGTTGCCGCCGAAACGGAGTCACAACTACGCTTGCGGGCGAAAAGTGCCTCACATTTTGCGATCAACGACCAGACAGGTAGGAAACCAGCCTCAATTTCTCTACGGTTGATCGACTCGACTTTCACTTTCAGAATAACAAAGCTAGACTACTCATACGTGCCGTGCTACGATCGCTTCGAACAGATGAAGCAGTGCTTCTACAACGAAATTCGCGAGAAGGTCTCACGGCAGTTTGGAACACGATAGAATATCGAAGTACTTGTACATAGAGCTACCCGTGAAAACTTTCTGTTTTCTTTATCACTGCATTCAATGTCCATTTTCTCAAACTTCCTTTCAACGATCACCTCATGTTAGATTTTGCAATATTTTGTATCGACTGTATGAAGTATAAACTTATGTGTACTACTACCCCCTTTCAGCTTAGGCCTACTGAAAATACCTGAATAGCGTATATCGGCAATTCTTTGAACTGTTTTAAAAAATGTGTTTAGATTTTTCCTACTTCGTTTTTTTTTAAATTATAAAGTGGATTAGATGATACACTTATACACTTGATGCAATTGACATATGGAAAATGTGAATGCAACTGACATATGGGGAATGTTCGAACAAATCTGGCATTCCATAAGATTCTCATGTGGGTTTTTTGTGTTTTCTGCCAACTTTATACAAATTTTTTATGTTGCACATTCCTAAAAACTTACTTAATATCGCGTCATCTGATCAGATAGGATTTGACGATCCAGGGGAAAAGCACCTAAGCACAACAGGCGAAACATAGATTGTGTTTAACGCAGAATAGTCTCAATAAAAGAAAGAGAATAATGAAAATAGCAATCACTAATCTACATACATGCACTGAAGCCCAAGGATCAAGATAAAGGCCGGTTGATGAAATTAAATAGGGCATGGTCAGCATTGAGAAGTGAAACTTTCATATGATTACCTGTTGGCTACCCAGCTCTGCGTCGACCATGTGTTGATTTCAACTTGGTGGAGAGTAATCAAAATCAGTCCAAGGCATCCAATGAACTACCCTCTCTCCGCTCTGTTTCTTTTGTTCAGGTTTATTCTCTACTGCCTCGCATTTTTCCAGATCCTACCCCAGTCCCAAATCTGCGCTGAAGCGCTCCTATGGCTGCTGTGGTGGTTTACTCTCTTTTCTGAGTTGCTCTCACGAACTACGCCCCTGGCTTCGGATGCCACTGGATGGATTTCTCTTTCGTGTTGAGAAGCTGAGGTCCATTCGTGAGATGATATCGTCACATGGAGGGGTTAGGGTAGCATAACTTGCGAGAATGCTGACAAGTCTGCCATGATGAAAATTCCATGCACAATAAGAGCCCTTATGCCACCAACCTACCTGAAATCCTTAATAACTTGCGGTGATGCACTAACACTATTGGCTGTAACTTAATACAGCTGCTGGCATGCACATGCCTTCTTGATACCGATGTAACCCATTAAACATTGATCGTGGTGAAGCACACATTACAAACTCACAGTCACGGTCAAACCGTTGTTTACCGCGTCGATCAACAACACTAATATTCATGTGCCCACCATTTATTCCTATCAGAACAATCTACGACTCATATATGAAAGTTGAGTACAACCAACTGATGATTTTGCTAAGCGCCGGCGATATCGAAAAAATTCTAATGTTGCGCCACCGATATTTGTCAAGCGAGGGCGTATCCCAATTAGCGTCGCCTCCAGGCAGTAGATTGCGGCCCATCGCGGACTCGATAAATCGATGGTCTACTCTATCTCACAACATGAGCGCTTTTACTAAGTCTCAAGTCCGTAATCTTCACCCAATCTACTCCATGGAGACAAACATACTTCAGGTGCTGTAGGGCCAGTCCTCCAATACCTGTGACGAGTGTCAAAGCATAAGTTGAGGCAGTGCTTAATCGATTGTACTGGATGGTATTTGGAGGCCGACCGCTTACGAGACGGCAGATGAGACGAAGGTTGACTTTTGTGCAGAGGTAGCTTTTGTATGCGGCTATGAGAGGCGAAGCAGCCGACTAGCGTTTTGGGACTCCACCCTTCAAAGCGCCAGCGAATCCTTCTAGAAGTCGCACAATCCGCAACAGCTGCCTCGTTTAATATCTGCTCCATGACGAAGGCGGTCGCCCAAGTAGGTTGAAAGCATACAAGGCTAACGCGCACGTGGCGCGCGGGCAATTGTCAACCACGGGTCGCGCGGACGCTCCCGTGAGCGACCGCTGCGCGCGCCCTGTGGTTGACAATTACCCGCGCGCTGCAGCCTCGCATGCTTTCAACCTATTTGGGCGACCGCCTTCGTTTTGGAGCAGATATTAGCCTCACCGCATCCTTCTCACCGCGTAATGTAAAGAGTCTCTGTCTTTTGTCTACAAGGCTGTATATGATCCAGTTACGATTGGTAAGCTTTCGCTTAAACCGCCTTAAGTTGGCGATTGAAGACTAGATGTATACCAGACGTTTCTTTGAGCCCTGAAATTCTGCTTTCTTCTTTAGCGAAGCAACTCTCCGAAAGAAGTTATGAGCGGTTGAGAGTGATTTGTCCAACCTTGGAAGGCATAAAATTTGCGGCAAGCTATACAAAAACGCCTGAGTGTAAACAATTCTATTTCAAGTATATTGAATACAAGGAAGGAACACAGCCAGCAGAGGTCCACATAGGTGTTTTTGCGGAGCTTTTTGTTGATTTTTTGTCACTTGAATCTTGACAAAATTGGATATTCAGGCACTCATAACTTCTTCCGGGGAGTTGTTTCCCAAAATAGGAAAGCAAATTGGAAGTCTCCGGTCGCCAACTTAAGTTGATATACTTCCCTGTTAGGTGTATGTCAACCAATCAAAAATCAATATGAGGACCCAGCGAATCGCTGCGAAAAGTAGCCTAAAACATTTGCCGGTGCCAAGAATGTATGTGTGTAGCCGTGTGTCGGGTATGTGTGTCGGTTCCCGCACAAAAGTGTTCATGAAAAAACACATTTTTGCACATACCCACAGATTTTCTGCTCTAATATAATATATGAAGATAATAAACAATCGAGCTTACTGTTTACGCATTTGATCATCAACTAACAAACACCAATAAATTTCAAAGTCTTTATTCATTAGAATTGGACACTAGACACTACATCAACGCATAGACTTACATTGACTTCTGTAGTGACGTAGGAAAGCTTTGAGGAGTTTTTCTTTTGGAAAGCATTGTCGGATTTGAAGCATTCTTGCGCGATCGAAATGCGTTGAGTGTATATCTCCGGTATTCTTTGAGAAAGACGATGATAATAAGAGCGCTAGATAGAGGAAACAACGACAGTGAAAATCCAAATAAGTATGAAGTCGCACTAGTCATTTCTCCGCCAATGAGCATGAAGACCATCGTGACGATGCAGGGCATATACAGGAGCGAAATAGGGCACGCAGTCTGAATTCAGTGTCAATATATCATATCATTTATCTCCTCATCAAGAGGCACGAGCACGTCACTCAGCGGTAATATACCAAAACGCTTTCAAACGGACTCATAAACTTGTTGATCAGACGTAATTAGATATGCAAAGCTCTTTATCTTTTGGTAAAAGAATGAATGAGCAGGCAGGGCATTGCAGACAATTGATAAAGTAAACGCGTGACAGTTTTGTTGACTTGTGAGCACAAAGCAATTGTACTTTAAAATGGGGGTTCGACAAGTTTTCCAACGCTTGACCTGCAATGCTTTGCCGCTATATTGGGATTCGCCTTACAGTCTAGTCCTTTTGTTGTTTTACTTTGCACCGAATGCATGCGTCATCCATAAAGCGCGTACCCAACCTAGAGCTTTGGCCGTTTTCGCATTCAGGTTTGAGAGTAACACACTCAGTGTCCCTCTTGACATTTGCAAAGAGCAACAACTATGAAAAAATGCACTTATCTTGAAAAAAAAATCGTCTTCTAGCCAGCAATATGCGAGTTTTTAGCAAAGATATGGTGTCCATCTGCACACGTTAAAATAGAAAACGACTCGATTTAATGATGCACATTAGGCTTCCGCCAGAGTGCCGAAGTTATGCCAGCGCTACGCCAGCATTTCGATCGATACACGTGTATTTCGTTGGGGCGGGGCTAGCTCAGCAGGTAGATGTAACGAAATATACGTGGATCGATCGAAATGCTGGCGTAGCGCTGGCATAACTTCGGCACTCTGGCGGGAGCCTTAAAGCCATTATAGTCAAAATATTACGCGGGTCATAAGTTATGCAACTTCCTCACCAGGGCCCTGCACGAGGTAGGCAAATGACAAGCTGGAAATCGTTTTGGGGCCAAAAAGCAAAGGGATATCGTTTTTGCGGGATCCGGGGCGGAGCCCCGGAAGGAGATTCCAAGTGCAAGCAAAAAAAGGTCGAATCATGCTTACCTTATACATCTAATTCATGGGAAAATAGTTTTCATAAACCTCAACGCACAGCAGACTTCGCGAGCACTACGCCGCGTTGCCGCTAATTGCCGCGTGTGCGACTTCGCATGAGCGATGCCGTTGAACAGCATGACTACTGATCAGTTCTCAATGCAGGCGTAATGATATAGCATCAAATTACGTAAGCGAACAAAGAGAGGCTAGTAAAACAAAGCATGATAGTCAAAAAACTTATGTGAATGGGAGGTGTAATAAGCATTTTTTCCAAAAATTTCGCAAAACTGGTAAATGAAGATGTGAATTCAAATGGCTCGTTTGCAGCGCACAGATGACCATACGGTATGAAACTTGATAGGTACATGAACACCGGCCTGCAGGGCTTATCTTAGAAGTTTCATTGAAAAACTATGTGAATGAGGGTTGTGGCAAGCTTTTGTCTGAAAATTTCCCACTATCAAAAAAATGGAAAATGGCTCGATTGCAGCGCAGAGAAAACGAAATCGCGCGAGACTTGGTGTGTATACGCGCAGTAGGACTAAGGAACAGTGTATGAAAAATTATGAAAAACTTATGTGAATGAAGAGCGTACTTAACTTTTTTCCAAATTAGGTGGGCAACTGCCCACCTAATGCCCCCTGAGGTGGGCAAAACTTCCCGTTCACATAATTTTTTAAAAAATTTTACATAAATCTGTTGTCCACCTAAAGTTTACTATATGGTGAGATTTTGCTTCCGAAACTCCTCCTCTTGTCTTTGTTAGAGCCCAAAATCGCATCAGCAGCCTAGCTTTCTAAGATGGAAACTCCCCCAGTCAATCGATACGCGCGGGAACGGCGTCTCTCAG